TTTTTTTAACTCGACAAAGCATTGCAGGCCCAGCCCAATCATTCCTTATTTTTTTAACTGCTGCGATCTAGCCTGCTGGGTGACGGTAGCAGAGCTTTTGATAAATCCCGTTGCCGGCCACCTAGCGTGTTTCTGAGTTTGCTGCGTTACGAACACAGCTGCTCGTCCTCTCTGCACATGCCCCCTACGCACACGCGGGAGGGTTCTTCAGCGGAGATGCCAGGCGCATTGCTTTCCCAAGGTAACTTTTCTGCTGTATGTTAGCAGCCTTGAGCACAGTTCTGCAAATACCTGCTTGCTGGTTATCGGGCCCATCATCAGTGCCACTGGACTACAGGAGGGATACTTGCTCTTGTTTGAGTGTCTTTTTAACTTTGTGTGGAGTTGGCTGGGGGGAGGCAGGAACAATGAGCCGCCCACTTTGTGCGACGGCAAGGCCGACTGTCGTGGTGGAGCCGCGTGTCATGGGTGTGAGTGTGTTGGTATCAAACTGAACAAATTCCTTGGGATCTTTTCAGTATTACGAGCTTCTAAGGAACAATATGCAAATGTCCCAAATTGGTTTCTATACGTGTTACCACTTTCTATAAAGTAGCTCACACGTGAATGATACAAGAATGTGTTTCCCAATACAGCAAAGGATCCTTTCTTTCCTGTAGATTTATTAGTATCATATCATACTTCAAAAACTCAAATCTTCACTCGTATTAATCAGGAAGTCAGTCTGATAGACATATAGATTGATAGTGATCTCTTTGCTAGGCCTTCTTTTTTAAGATTGTTATATAAATGACACTTGACCTAATTTTAATCTGACACTTGCAAATTTTTCTTAACTAGTACAAAGTTGTGATAAATTAATGCTTGCTATTGGGCATCTTCCACATACATTCCCTTCCCCCGTTTAAAATCTGGGAGTTAATGCAGCATATACATGGTTAAAGGAATATATATTATAAAGTGGAAAGTGACTATTTAAAATGCCATTTCCCATCATCAGATGCCAATTATCCCGTCCCAGCGTTTGGCGTGGGCGATGATTATCCCCAGGTCTGTTCTTGGCAACGCGAAAAAGATAAATGGGTGGAAGGAAATGAGAGCAAATGTGATGATAAATTGACTTGCAGAGAACATACCTTTCACATTTCCCCCGGTGGCTTTGCTTTAAGTGCTATTAAACCACAACTGTGTATGTAAAACTCAGGTGCGGAAGTGTCTCACCCGAAATACGGCTTTTCCCTTTCTCCTCATTCTGTTATACACACTTAGAATTTCTTTTGTGGAAACACGAACAAGA